CGCAACCTCAAGTTTACTGAGAGGTTTGCTGGGGATAAACTGACGGAATGGACAGTTTCCCCGAAAAGCTATCAATTGTTCATCGACGGTAAGGTACATGCTAGGTGAATAAATCTGTTTGCAATTCAGAACAAATGCATCAAAAATTGTCCTAATCGGTGCAAGTTTATCGAGTGCCACTCTCTCAATACGAGTTTCCAAACTGTCAAAGCGCAAGCAACATAAAAGAAAATTGAAACGTTGTAGGGTCATAGTTTTTCTGAATATCAGAACTCCTGTATCGTCAGTTGCCCATAAATCCTTTACATTTTGACGTCCAGATTTGTAGTAGCCTCCTAAATAGAGAAGACCAAATAAAGCTAGCAATTCCGTCTTGTCTGTTTGTTTTACTTTATATTGATCTTTTTGTCCATAAGTAGACGACCTCATCAAAATTCTTTCGTTTGTGTTATTCAAAATTACTTCTAACATTTCATCAGTGAAGAAATATTTCCAGCATTCTAACGCCGTTTTACCATCTCTATATCCTCTTCTAACGACGGGTAATTGCGTGACAATATTTTCTGATCTTGTTCTGACATTTGGCCGAGGTGGATGTTTGAACCATTTTGTTGTACCGTCCTTCCCCAAATAAAATAAACCTGCGCTGATCTGGTTATTATCATTATCATCTATGTCTTTTTCATCGTCGCTGATGTCTTGTTCAGTATCGCTGTTATGATCACTTTCATTCAAGTTGTCTATTTCACCTTCATCACTTGAAATTTCATCGTAATCACCAATTTCAGACTGCACATCTTCCCACAAGGCAAGAAGTCTAGCTTGCTCCCGTTCAAAATCTCCCATTTTGATAACGATGCAATTCTGATAATAAAATATGTAAATAAGTTTAATTAAATCACACTATTTTGTCGTAAAATTTGTTTTATAACAACTAAAAAAAATAACATACCGTCAACTCACTTCTAACGTATTAAGTCTGATGGGGTCTGAGAAGCCCGATGATCAATTAGGTTATGATTTGAAGCACTTCTAGTACAGGGAGGCATAAACTACACTGGACTGCAGGTAGAATGACTCATTAGATGCAGCTAGCATGGATGCCAGCTTGTGCCATGCGATTGGTTTTCACGATGCAACACATTTAACATACCTCTGGGCCTGTAAGACCCCACCAGACTTTCGGAAGGAATCTAATCTCTGCCCTGTTTGTTCCATCTCTTTCTAGTAGGTTTAGTTAATTTCTTTCTTGCCTTTACAGCCTGTTTTTTTATCTCGTTTCCGAATTTCTTTTCTCTTTAAAGTCTTTAATTAGCCATATTTTTTTCATTAGTAGACTCTTTCCATACATCCTCCTTTCTGCATTGACTTTTTTCTATTTCCAGTCTCCGTTTAGTTTCGCTTCTTTATTACCAGTCTCATCAATAAACTTCATTTTTTCCAGTCTCTTTACAGTCGTCATCTTTGTCTTGTTCTATTACTACTCTTTTCGGTCTCAATAATTTCTATTCAGTCCGCTTTTTCTCACATTTGCTTCTTTTTAGTCTTTTTTCGTCATTAATTTCTGCCAACTCTATTTTTTCTCTCATCAGACTCTCTTCTCTTTATTTCTACTATTATCAGTCTCTTTTCGTGTTTCTTTCCTCACTAGCTTGCGTTCTTTCTCTGTTTTCCATCTTTATTCATTATTTCTTAGGTGACCAGTCTTCTTATTGTCTAGATTCTTATTATTCTCTTTTTCTTCTGTTTCTAGTCTCTGCCAGTCTTCTTACTGTGTCGATATCCAATGCTCAATCTCATTTAACGCCTTCTAGTTTATATATTCTCTTTCTTTAAATCTCAGTCTCTATTCAACCTTTATTATTACCAGTTTTCCTCCTTTCTGCACAAGTCTATAAAGTACTGAATTTTAGTTTATAATTTTAGTACTAATCGTTTCCTTCTTTTCTATTCTTTTATTACCAGGCTATTTCCGGTCTTTCACCTTTCTCAAATCTCCCTCCTTCCTGTTCAGTTCTTCTCTTTTCTGCCTGTATTCAATCTTTTTCTTCAATATCAAGTCTTTGCACAGTCGTCATCTTCATTACCTGGCATTTTACTTGTTTTTGCAGTCTCTTTTTTGCTTCTTTCATCTCTTCTCAATTCTTTCCTTTCATTACCAGTGTATTTTTAATCATCATAATTTTTGCCCAGTCTTGTGTCTGCGCCTTCCAGTCTTTCTTCATTCCCATTAATTTCTACCTAACCTAAGTCAATCTTCGTTCCACTCTCTTTTCATTCTCAATAATCTTTGCCCAGTTTCTTCAATCTCTTTCCAGTAGGGGTCTATTTAGACTCTTTCTGCAGTTTTTTTTCTATTTCTTGTATTCATTATCATTTTTCTCCTTCTAATTATAGTTTAGTCTGTAATTTTTGAAATATTAAAATTTTTTTTTATAATTATAGTGAGCATGAACAATTTGGTGCTTGCCAAGCTGGAACAAGTATAGCAGTTTTAGATGATGGAACAGCAGTTATTGGTTCACCTGGTCCTTATACATGGCGAGGAACGATTTTCGTGCAAAGTATAGTCGGAGATTTCCTTCATAAAGATCAAAGCGTATATTTAGGTCCTCTGGACGATAACGATAAACCAATCGGAAAGTACAGTTATCTCGGAATGAGTGTAACCGGTGGTTATTTCTTAAGTAATAAAAAAAAATCTTACGCAGCTGGTGCTCCCAGATCGCAAGATCACGGTCAAGTTTATTTCTTCGATAAACCATTGCAAAGAGACAAACCGATGGATATAAGTTTAATTATAGACGGGGATCAATTCGGCTCAAATTTCGGTTACACCATTTTAAGCACAGACCTCGATAATAACGGTTTCGATGATTTAATAGTTTCGGCGCCGTTTTATTTTTCAAAAAATCACGGCGGGGCCGTTTACGTTTATTCCAATTTAACCGGATGCGAGAGAGAACAGAAATGTTCAAACCAAACCATTTATGGACCGTCCGAATCAAGATTCGGGTTCTCAATGGCAGCTTTAGGGGATATTAATAAAGATGGTTATAGAGATATAGCGATTGGGGCCCCTTACGAAGGTGGTGGTGCTATTTATATTTACTTAGGATCGAGAGATGGGTTGAAATTGTCGCAAAAAATTCATCCTGAAAAAGATGGAATCACCACGATTGGATATTCTTTAAGTGGGGGGTTAGATATGGATAATAATGGATACCCCGATTTATTAACTGGAGCTTACGCCTCTGATGTTGTTATTTTATATCGTACAAGACCGATTATTGACTTTAAAATTGATGTTATCGATCATTATAATGAGTTGAAAAATATTAACCCGAAGATTCGGGGTTGTCGATTAGAACCGAGGTCTAATCACACTTGGTGAGGATTTTTTAATTTTGTTTTTGGGTTAAGTTTATGATTTGAATTTTAGTTTCCATTTCGAGTTATGTTTCAACATAGTTGATGATATGAAGAGTAATTTGCAGAACGTTTCGGTGTTGGCGCAATTAAACGCGGAAACTTTCGATAATAAAAAGAAATTTTCGAGGGTTTGGTTCAAAAAGCAACACAAACACACTTTTCACAACTACGTGGAGCGACATCATATTCTTGAGAAGGGGCGGTATCGATATTGCCAAAATGAAACCGTTTATTTGCAAGAAACGAGAGATATCCTCTCACCTATTAGAGTAAGTTGTGATTAATTAAAATCGATTAATTAATTTTTCGTTTAGTTTTTAGTTAATTACACTTTAGATGATAGCCCCCCGGATTCCCCGATTCTAAATCAAACTTCAGTTAAAGAATTCGAAGCTACATTCCAAAAAGATTGCGGATCCGACGATGTGTGTCAAAGTCGATTGGTTTTGAGTGCTGTTTTGCCAGATTTAAACGTCGATAACGAAGGCCGTTATGATTTAACCTTGGGAAAAACCGACGAAATCATTTTACAAGTGAACGTAACGAACAACGGGGAATCAGCCTACGAAACGGAGCTTTTTATAATCCACCCAAACTCGTTAAATTACATAGCGCTAGGAAAATCGGACGAAATAAAGTGCACAACAAAAAATTCAACGATGGTAACGTGCAGCTTGGGGAACCCCGTCCCAAATAAAGAATCGATCAGCTTAAACTTCCGCTTTGAAAGCAACAACGCGGTTAACGCCGAAAAAGAACTAACATTCTACACCTTCGTTAATTCAACATCAACCGAATTATCCAAAAAGACGAACGCAACATTAATCGCGTTAATCCAAAAAGTGGCCGAAGTAAAAATAAAAGGACTAGCGAGTTCGCACATCCTTTTCGGCGGCGAAATCCGAGGCGAAACCGCAATGAAACACTTCGATGATATCGGCAAAAAAGTTTGGCATAAATACCAAGTGGTAAATCACGGCCCATGGCACGTAGAAAACCTTCAAGTCTTAATCAAATGGCCGTTAGAAATCGAAAATAACCGCCCCCACGGAAAATGGCTCCTCTACTTAGAATCGCTTCCAAAAGTCGAAGGAAACGATAAAGATTTTTGCTACACCGAAGCTTTAAACGCCGTAAACGTTTTAAATTTAACGAAACGCGCGGGAAGTACCGAATCGCCGCCCGAAAATTTAATGCTTCCAAGGGAGATCCCGAAAGAATTTGAGACGCAAAGTGTGTTTTTACAACCGCAAGATAAAACGAGACGGAGAAGAAGAGACGCGGAATTTCGAAAGGTGCAGGAAGATTTGGGCGATCAAAAGAAAAGGGTTACTTTGGATTGCGACGGAACCGCTAAATGTATCACCCTAATTTGTAATTTACATCAATTAGGGAAAGACCAGGATGCCACGATTACCGTTGAATCAAGATTGTGGAATTCGACTTTAATGGAGGATTACGCTAATGTTGAATGGGTCAAAATCATTTCGATGGCGCAAATCTTTTTAAAAGATTCGACTATTATGCAAAATGTGGATGATGATTTTGCAAAGGTAATGTATACTTCCATGATAAGTGTCTGATTTGATATAAATACAAGTTTTAATGAATCTATGAATCAGAGCTGTTAAAGTAACCCAGTAAAAAATATTGTATTTTTAAATAATAGGGCCGTTAACTATTTTTTTTTTATTGGCTTATTCGAAAGTTTTTTAAAATTGATTGACCCCATATTTTTTAATTTTTGATTCTGAGGCTTAGTTTTTCCAAAAAAAAATAATAAAGTTTGAAATTACAGGCCGCGAATTCAGTAGCGCGTCACTCAGATTTGAGCGTATGATTGGAGCGTATAAAAATCAATAAAATTCCTAGAGAGAGACAATGCTACGAATCTTATGCGCTAGAAGAAAACAGAAGAAAACGGGAGAGAAATCACGTCTGTGATTTCTTTCTTCTTACTTAAAACGTCACAATGAATCAGGGGTGGGGAATTTTAAACTTTTACATTAATTATTGCAAAAATTAAACAATTTTCGAACGTGAAAACGTTACTAATCCGTCTAATTTAATTTACATTATCGATTTTTTGAAAGACGGTCTTTCTAATCGATTGACGTTAACGGCCCTATTGTCCTGTACTGAGTGATCACACGCGGTAGAACAGTGTTATTAAAACTTATCATTTTCCAAAAATGTCTACACATATTTCGATTATTATAAGATTTTGCAACAATTTCCTAAAATGTTCAAAGACATCCTGTAATTTCTGAGTGAATTGAAAACTTTTAAAGGATTTTTACAGAAATTGTACGAATTTCCAAGAATATCAAAAAAAAAAGGATATCCATTAATAATATTTAGGATTTTAACGATTCGTAAGATTCATATAAGCATTTCCAAGTATTCCCATAAGATTTTCAAAGATACCATCCAAATTTCCCAAGATTTTTGAGGAATCCAACAAGTTTCCATAGATTTCTATAGATATTCAGGTTTTCTAAAAAGTTTCATGAAAATTTCCAAATACATCCAAGGATTTCGTAGCAATTTGCTAAAATTTTCAAAGAAAACCAAAATTTCTAGAGATTTCAAGGAATATCCACAGATTTTTACGAATTTCTTAGGATTTTTGAATGTATCCAAGGTTTTTGAATGATTTTTTAGAAAAATTAGAAGGATTTCCTAATTAGGGATTTTGAAACGATTTCCAAAAGTTTTTATATACAACTAAGTATTTCTAAAAAGTTTAAGGGATTTAGACACATTTTAAAGCTATCCATCGATTTTTACGGATATCTTAGGTTTTCTGAGTGAAGAAAGAAGGATTTCCAAGGATATTCAATGATTATTACGAATGTCCAGGAGTTTTAATTCTTCCCAGATACTTATGTATGCATTTTTTAGTATTTCCAGGAGATTTCAACGAATTTTCAAGTGTACCATACAAATTTTTCAGAATACCTAAGATTATCTAGGATTTTACAGAGATTTCTACAGAATTTCAAGTTTTTAGAAGATTTTATAGGAATTTCCAAACATATCTAGAGATTTTGAAACGATTTCCGAAAATTTTTATATACAACTAGGTATTTCTAAAAATTTTAAGGAATTTAGACACATTTTCAAAGCTATCCATCGATTTTTACGGATATCTTAGGTTTTCTGAGTGAAGAAAGAAGGATTTCCAAAGATATTCAACGATTATTACGAATGTTCAGGACTTTTAATCCTTCCCAGATACTTATGTATGCATTTCTTAGTATTTCCAAAACATTTCAAGGGATTTTCAAGTATACCATAAAATATTCTCAGAGTACCTAAGGTTATCTAAGATCTTGCAGAGATTTCTTCAGAATTTCAAGTTTTTAGAAGATTTTATAGGAATTTCTAAACATATCTAGCGATTTTGAAACGATTTCCAAAAATTTTTATATACAACTAGGCATTTCTAAAAATTTTAAGGAATTTAGACACATTTTCAAAGCTATCCATCGATTTTTACGGATATCTTAGGTTTTATGAGTGAAGAAAGAAGGATTTCCAAGGATATCCAATGATTATTACGAATGTCCAGGACTTTTAATTCTTCCCAGACACTTATGTATGCATTTCTTAGTATTTCCAGGAGATTTCAACGAATTTTCAAGTATACCATAAAAATTTCTCAAAATACCTCAGGTTATCTAAAATTTTGCAGAGATTTCTACAGAATTTCAAGTTTTTAGAAGATTTTTATAGGAATTTCCAATCATATCTAGAAATTTTGAAACGATTTCCACAAATTTTTATGTACAACTAGGTATTTCTAAAAATTTTAAGGAATTTAGACACATTTTCAAAGCTATCCATCGATTTTTACGGATATCTTAGGTTTTATGAGTGTATCCAAGGTTTTTGAATAGTTTTTTAGAAAAATTAGAAGGATTTCCAAGACTATCCAATGATTATTACGAATGTCCAGGACTTTTAATTCTTCCCAGACACTTATGTATGCATTTCTTAGTATTTCCAGGAGATTTCAACGAATTTTCAAGTATACCATAAAAATTTCTCAGAATACAGAATTTCAAGTTTTTATATACAACTAGGTATTTCTAAAAATTTTAAGGAATTTAGACACATTTTCAAAGATATCCATCGCTCTTTACTTTCTCTTTGGTTTTTGAATGATTTTTTAGAAAAATTGGGAGCATTTCTAAGGATATCTAGTCCACGATTTTTAGTTATTCCCAAAGATTTATGTGGGCATTTTTTAGTATTTCCAGCAGATTTCAACTGATTTTTCAACCATACCATTATTTGGAATTTTGAAGACAACTTTAAAAAATTATTATTTTACTTACTATTGGAAGTACTGGAAGTAGATAAACTACTTGGAGTAAACAAATAGTTCTTCAAGTACTTCTTATGTCAAACAAGTAACAAGTATCCAGTACATTTTAAGCTAAATACTGAAAGTACAACTATTAAGTACCTACAATTTGAAAGTACTGGCAGTAAAGTACTTAAAGTAAAAAAGTACTGAATACTTTACTTGCAGTACATTTTTATTGTAAGTAGCTCAAGGTAGCTGATATGTATGGAAACACTTCGACGAGGTTCCTTTCACAGTTTGTCTTTGCTTAAATGGGACAATTTATAATTGCTCCCGCTATGAAGATAAATCATGGTTTCTATCAAGCATTGCTGATGTGATAGGAAGACTTTAGACCTTATTCAGTGTATCACGACTCAATTGATTAAAGGCGTAAGTGATGGACTGAATAAGCGTTCAAAGGCTGTTTTTCTTTTTCTTAAGGCTCTACAATTCTTGGTGGGTTTTGGCCTCCTCAACAATTCTACGTCATTCCCGTCACTCCTAGCCACTCTCCACCAGTCACTCACTCCCATCGCCCTCAAGTCATCCTTCACGTCATTCAACCATCTTTTACGAGGTCTTCCTCTCTGACTGTTGGTTTCCATTCAGTAAGAATTTTTACACTTCTATCGTCTTCCATTCTTCTTATGTGTCCCAGCCATCTAATTAGCTAAGATTAATTGAATTAACTGATTGTGTCAACTTATAAAAGTATTTAGATTAATTCTGTCAGGTTTTGGAAATATTTTGCTTAATTCTATCAATTTCTGGAAATAAATTGCGTAATTTTATCAGCTGCTTTAAATATTCTATCAGGTTAAGAAATAATTGCTTACCTGTATCCATTTCTGGAAATTATTTTCGTAATTCTGTCAGCTTCTGGAAATATTTTGCTTGATTCTGAGAGATTTTGGAAGTACTTTGGTTAACTTTGAGTGTTTCTGAAAATATTTTGCTTAATTCCGCAAACAGCAAGACAAAATCATTGTTTAAACTCTTTTATGGTACTCTTAGTATAATAAACCTTGTCTCGTTAAGATTGGAAGTAATCTACTATACAATGAATATTTTTGTACCAACCCAAACAAGCAGTATCTTATTTTGCTTAATTCTTCCAGCTTTAGAAAGTATTTTTCCAAACCTTGTAAGGCATTAAAACTATTTTGCTAAATTGTATCAGCTTATGGAAGTATTTTGTTTAATCCTGTCAGGTTTTGGAAATATTTTGCTTAATTCTATCAATTTGTGGAAATGAATTGCGTGCTGCTTCAAATATTTTGCCTAATATCGTCTTCCATTCTTCTTATCTGTTCCATCCATCTAATTCGCTAAGATTTAACAAATGCTGTTAAGAGGTTGATACACTAAGTTTATTGGAGTATCAGCTTCCTGTTAAATAAAATAGAGTATGACTATTAGGCCGAGGCCATTGAGCTTCAATAATTCTAGGCAGCAGTTTATGACCACAGATTCACTTTTGTTTTGAGACTCTTTTCTCTTGTATCCAACCCAACCCCTTATTCTGCCTTGTTCCTCAAACTCAAAAATAGGTACAAAAAAATACAAAATAAAAATAGGTACACACACACCACCAGCGATTCTATCAGAATCATTTATTGCCAAGCACTATTCAAAACGCTGAAATTGATTTGATGCCAAATTCGACTTATAGTCTTATGTGACACAGAATATCGAGCATTTGCAGCACTAGCAAATATTGATACATACTTTAGCGCATTTCTTGCGTTAGATTAGGCATTTTTCTGTGTGCTACAATATCGGCAATTTCTTCACGTTCCATTACGTGGTATTTTTGCATAAATTATTATTTTGAGTATTAAATTATTTAAGTTTATATTAAAATAATTTTTTTTTAGGCTGAAACCGTTGTTTTCCCCGAAATAAGAACCGATGACAGTTTAAACCTTCTTGTGATAATCGGAGCCGTTCTTGCTGGTCTCCTCCTATTAACAATTTTAATTGTGATATTATACAAGTGCGGCTTTTTCAAACGTAATCGAGTTAAGGACCCGACGTTGCAAGGAAACCTTCAGAAACAAAATAGAGAGAGTGAAACTCTTCTACCACCTACATAGTATGAAGTGAAACCGATAAAACTATATTAAAGTGCCTATTTTTTATAGTCGATAAGTTATAAGATATCTTTTTTCCTTTGTACATAAAAGAATCGATTTTTTTAGGTCTCGAAAGCGTGTGCGTGTTGCGAGAATCGGATTTAAATTTAGACAACGAATTGATTATATTTTTTTTAATTTGTACTAGTCATTATTGTTTAAAAAGCGTTCTCTCGTTTTGCCAATTTTTTGTACTTAGGCAGCTGAATTACAACTTAGATTTCAACTTAAAAAAGGTGCTCATTAAGATATATGTAATTTTTATACCACCTTAAAGCAAATTTATTTATATTCAGGTTCATTTCGTTTCGCAATAAATAAAATACTTTAGATTTTAAGATTTACTTTATTTGATTATTATTTTTTAATAATTATTGTTCAATGTACTTATAAGATTGTATGTTTATGTGAGATGAGAGAGCGACCTTTAAAAAATTGTTGTATTTTATAAAATTACTTCTTTTTTTTAATACCTTTTTACCCAAGAGAAGCCGTTTTGAAAAGTTTTTGAGAAAACAATAAATTCGGTATAAAATTCATTTCTTAAAGAATCCTTGTGGAAATATCACCAATTATTAATTAAAGTTTAAGTAAAATTTTTGAAATGATCGACAATTTTTTCGAATTTTGCAATTTTCGCCGATTAAGTTTTAAAAATTCTAAGTGTCCTCTTTCCAACAAACCAACCCGTTTTGAAAAATAACTTTTAGTTTTTGAGAAAACAATATTTGAAGTTTTGATAAAATTTTCGATGTTCCAAGGATCCTTGCGGAAATATCACCAATTATTAATTAAAGTCTCCTCTTTTTAATGCAAAAAGCCGTTTTGAAAAATTACTTTTAGTTTTTGAGAAATAAATTTTTGAAATGATCGACAATTTTTTCGAATTTTGCAATTTGTGCCGATTAAGTTTTAAAAATTCGTATAAAATCCATTTCTTGGAATATGAGTATGAAAATTTCCCAAAGTGTTAATAAAAGTGTCCTCTTTCCAATGAACCAACCCGTTTTGAAAAATAACTTTTAGTTTTTGAGAAAACAATATTTGAAGTTTTGATAAAATTTTCGATGTTGCAATTTTCATCGATAATTTTCAAAATTCGCTATAAAATTAATTTCTTGAAGGATCCTTGTGGAAATATCACCAATTATTAATTAAAGTCTCCTCTTTTTAATGCAAAAATCCGTTTTGAAAAATTACTTTTAGTTTTTGAGAAATAAATTTTTGAAATGATCGACAATTTTTTCGAATTTTGCAATTTTCGCCGATTACGTTTCATGGTGTATCTTGGATCCAAATAAGTTGAGATATCTTATCAACTTTGTCAACTAATGTCAAATATCAAAATTTTAGTAAAATTAAAATTTCTATAATGGAATCAAACAAACATCGGAAAGTAAAGGTGATAAAATGTCTTAAAGAATACCCAAGTAGAGATGCTTTCTTTAATTTTCTGCATATCCTCCGGTTAAAATATCAAACGTGGCCGGCTATAAAAGTGGCCCTTGAAGGAATAAGACATTGGGGTGAGAATGACTGGAAAAAAATTATCAAAAAGAATAATAAGAGAGCCAAAAAAGAAAACAAATCAGTTAAACCTGAGAAGATTTTTAAACCTGCTAATGGAATAAAGTGGAGTGAGAACAAAAAGAATAAAAATAGTGCTCCATCTAAAAGTGTTAAGAGTTCACAATATGTTATTGAAAGTAAAATGAGTAAATAAAATGTCTCAAAATTATTATTTTAATTATTTCAACAGGATTGATTTTAACACTTATATTTCATATTTAAGTACATTGTAATAATTTGTTAATTATAAAAGTTACTAAACAAATTTCATTAATTAATTGATAAAATACTTGTTTAAAGTCAAATTTATTATTTTGTATGGAACATAGTTGTAAACATGGAACACCTCAACAACGACGATCTTTTCAAAATATACAAAGAAGAAGAACCTCCACGTTTTAATAAATTATTATATACGACGTTATTTCTTGGTGAGTATTATTATTTAATTTTTAAGATGATTAATTAATAAATTAATTTTTATTTTTAAGTGAACCTAACTGCATTTTCAATGGGGGCTTCATTAGCTTGGTCTTCTCCGGCTACATCAAAATTAAACATAACCACTTCAATGTCCCCAAAACAAGAAGCTGGGGTAGTTTCCTTACTTTTCTTCGGCGCAATTTTTGGAACATCACTCAGCAAGTTCTTCATGGTAAAATTGGGAAGAAAAGGAGCTTTGTTATTATCAGGAATACCAAACATAATTGGATTTTTGTGTTTAACAGCTGGTCATAATTTTGTTATCATATACATAGGCCGATTTTTTAACGGATTCGCCGTTGGAATCATTTTAAGCGTCTCACCTGTATATTTACACGAAATGAGTGATGTTGCTCATCGAAAACTTTTAAACGCCACGATTATAATCAGCACAAATCTTGGATGTTTATTCGTTTATGTTCTTTCGTTATTTTTTAAGTTAAAACTTTTAAGTATCATTAATGTTATATTTCCTTTAGCTTTTGTGGTGATTTTTGGAATTATGTCGCCGGATACTCCGCATTATTACATTTCACGCGGAAGAATTCACGAAGCTTGGGATAGTTTGAAAGCTTTAAGAGCTGGGGGTGATGAATCTATTAATAACGAGTTAGTTTTAATACAAAAAGAGGTCGTTGAAAGCTTTTCTAATATAAATAACTTTTTTGATTTTATAAGAAACGAAAGATTTCGTAAGAAATTGTGGGTTGCTTTAGGATTAATTTTGTGTAATCAATTAATCGGAGTTACCACAATTTTTTGTTATATGGAATCGATTTTTGAGGGGTTTAAGCCGCAATTATCTCCGAGTGTTTGTGTTATTATAATGGGTATTGTGCAACTTCTTGGAAGTATTTTTGGGTTATTTGTGATTCCTAAGTGCCACAAACGATTACTCCTTTTAGTTTCGGCGTTTCATTTAAGTTTCACTTTAATTGCGATTACAACTTATCTTTGTTTAAAACAATACGAACGTGAGGCGATTTTGTATAAAATGTTTCCGATTATTAGTGTATCTTATTTGGTTTGGATTTATTCAAGCTTATTTACACCGTGCGTCAGTGTAATCACCAAAGAAATATTTCCATCTTACGCAAATTCAGTTGCTATTCGCGTGGAAGCCGTTTTTACGTTAATTTCAACAATTTTTGTTACAACATATTTTCCATTTTTGCGCAATTTTGGAATCGGGTATCCGTTTATTGTATTTAGCGTATTTTCTACTTTATCAATTTTATTTATTTATTTATTAGTTCCTAAATAATAAAAATAACATAAAAATTGTAAATACAATTCTAATAATAATAATACAAAAGGTACATATTAAGGCGCCCTGAGAATTTCTTAAATTTCCTGAAAAGTTTTTCCTTTAGTTTGGGGTAAAAATCCGAATCATGCCATCGTTTTACAAACAATAACAAATTCAGCAAATTTTCATATTTACTTATTTCTCTCGATATTGACGCATCTAAGAAGAAAAGTGCAAGAGAGCAATATTGTTAAGAATAAAATTTGCTACAACTTTTGTTCTCAAAATTTTTCTGCAATATGCTTAAATTCCTCAGTGTTACCATCGTTTTACAAACAATAACAAATTCAGTAAATTTTCATATTTACTTAGTTTTCTCGATATTGTCGCATCTAAGAAGAAAAGTGCAAGAAAGCAATATTGTTAAGAATAAAATTTGCTACAACTTTTGTTCTAAAAGTTTTTCTGCAACATGTTTAGATTCTTCAGTGTTACCATCGTTTTACAAACAATAACAAATTCAGCAAATTTTCATATTTTCTTATCTTTCTCGATATTGACGCATCAAAGTGCAAAAGTGTAAGAGAGCAATATTGTTAAGAATAAAATTTGCTACAACTTTTGTTCTCAACATTTTTCTGCAATATGCTTAGATTCCTCAGTGTTACCATCGTTTTACAAACAATAACAAATTCAGTAAATTTTCATATTTACTTAGTTTTCTCGTTATTGACGCATCTAAGAAGAAAAGTGCAAGAAAGCAATATTGTTAAGAATAAAATTTGCTACAAGTTTTGTTCTAAAAGTTTTTCTGCAACATGTTTAAATTCTTCAGTGTTACCATCGTTTTACAAACAATAACAAATTCAGCAAATTTTCATATTTTCTTATCTTTCTCGATATTGACGCATCAAAGTGCAAAAGTGTAAGAGAGCAATATTGTTAAGAATAAAATTTGCTACAACTTTTGTTCTAAAAATTTTTCTGCAATATGCTTAGATTCCTCAGTGTTACCATCGTTTTACAAACAATAACAAATTCAGCAAATTTTCATATTTTCGCATTTTTCTCGATAT